ATCAGGAATTTGTACATCGACCAGGAGGCTTTGTTCAAACAGACAAGGGGATACTGCGTGGTCTAGAATCAGGAAAGGTGTGTGTCAGGGTTGTATCTTTTCACCATACTTATTCAATCTCTGTGCTGAACAAATAATCCCAGAAGCTGGACTGTATGAAGAAGAATGTGGCATCAGCATTAGAAAAAGACTCTTTAACAACCTACAATATACAGATGACACAACTTTGCTTGCTGAAAGTGAAGATGACGTGAAGCAATTACTGATGAAGATTGAAGACTACAGTCTGCAGTATGGATTACACCTCAATATAAAGAAAACAAAAATCCTCACAACTGGACCTATAAGCAGAATCACTATAAATGGAGAAAAAATTGAAGTTGTCAAAGACTTCACATTGCTTGGTTCTACAATCCACACCAACGGAAGCAGCAGTCAAGAAATCAGATGACACATTGCACAGGGAAAATCTGCTGCAAAAGATTTCTTTAAAGGGCTGAAAGGCAAAGATGTCTCTTTGAAGACTAAGGTGCACCTGACCCAAGCAATGGTATTTTCAATAGGCTCATATGCATGTGAAAGCTAAAAAATGAATAAGAAATAAGAAAGACCAAAGAAGAGTTGATGCTTTTGAGTTGAGGTGTTGGCAAGGAATACTGAAGGTACCCATGGACTGCTAGAAGAAAGAACAAATGTGTTCTGGAAGAAGTGCAACTGGAACGTTCCTTGGAAGCAAGAATGGCCAGACTTTGTCTCACCTACTTTGGTCATGTTGTTAGAAGGGACCATTTGCTAGAGGATATTATGCTTGGTAAAGTGGAGGGTCAGCAAAAAAGGGTAAGGCCCATAACAAGATGGATCAGGACAACAATGGGCTCAGGTATGATAAGTATCATGAGGCTGGCATAGGACAGGGCAGTGTTCCGTTTCCTTATACACAGGGTCGCTGTGAATCAGGCTCAACCTGACTGCACCTAGCAACACAACAATAAATATGTGAAAAGTTGACCAAGTGCACTGGTAATTACATAAAGATAAATTAAGATAACGATGCTTCCATTGGAACCAAGTAATGAAATATTTGACAACTTCACTCTTCTCTCCATTTGTTATGATGCTGCTTATTGGTCTATTGTCCAATTATTGTGAGGACTTTTTTTTTCTTTATGTTGAGGTGTAATCCATACCGCAGGCTGTAGTCTTTGATCTTCATCAGTAAGTGCTTCAAGTCATCTTCGCTTTCAGCAAGCAAGGTTGTGTCATCTGCATATTGCAGATTGTTAAAGAGTCTTCCTCCAATCCTGATGCCATGTCCTTCTTCATATAGTCCAGCCTCTCAGATTATGGGAGCTCTGATGGTGTAGTGCCTAAGGTGTTAAGCACACAGATTGAATAAGTATTGTGAAAATACATATGTAGTATCAGTGTAATAACATGGTTGAGAGGAAAGGTATAAACCAACATCATTAAAATAATTACCTCTAGGATGGAGAGACTACTGAAGTTGTCCCCATTTCAGGAAGTGGCATATGATCTAGAACCAATGGTAATGAAGGAAGAAGTCAAAGCTGCAATGAAAGAACTGG